TTCGATATCATTTCTTTTCCTTTTCTTTTCATAATTTATATGCCAACCATTTCCCTGGTTTGTTTGCAAACTTTTTTTCCCCTTTACATAGTTCATTTTTATTTCCATTTCTTTTATTATTAACATAGATAATTATCATTGTAAAATCTTAATTTGTTAAAATTTGTCCGGAAATTTCTTTAATTCATCTTCTTTCTCTTTATCTCATCCAAAATACCTTGCATTTTATCTTCTTTTTGAGTTCACTATTATATTGTACAAAATAACTTCTAATGAAATCTTTACTTACATCCCAAACTGTTCTTAAATCAGTACCTTTATCTAAGTTATTTTCAAAAAATTATTTTAATTTCTTTTTACAATCCTCCACTATTGCTTCTTTATGTAGCAACATTTCATTTAGTCTCCATCTAAAAGAACTATATTTCCTTTTATAAATCAAACTCACAGTATTATGATATGAAAAAGTCTTTGGTAATATCTCTACCATAGTAGCCAAATTCTTTGAAATCCAAATCATCTATTCTTGAAAAGGATCTATGTGTTTCACAAAAGTAGGTGTACACTCTTGAATTGCCATTTTACTGTCTCCATATATCAACCAACCCCAAATTATCCATTAAACTAAAAAAAAAAAAAACTTTTGGTAGTTTGCCTTGAGTGATTTTAATATTTTTTTTCAGAAGTTCTATATAGTTGTGGGGAGACCACTACATTCCAATCCCTCCTCAAAACACCAATTTTTATAAAAGAAACCTATTAGTCTGTCCATGCCTTTATAGAACACTACTTTATTCTCATTTGGGGCATAAATTCCCAATATCAAAGTCTTAGTCCCATGCAAATTTACTTCCACCCAAACAAATCCGCCATAGGATCAGTCAATACAAGTTCTGGTTTTAGTTGGAGATTTATATACAAAATGACTCCATTTCTTTTTTTAGTTTCTGCTGAAATAAATTCTTTATCCAAAATTTTATAATTCAAATATTTTATGTCTTTCTTTCTAAGATGTGTCTCTTATGGGCAAATTATATCTGTTTTAATTTTTTCAAATAATGTTTTTTTTTCTCTTTTGAGCTCCATTTATATTCCATAATAAGTGTTTGTAATCTATAATCAAGCCAAAAATTTAGAAAAATTGATGCCTGTATTATCTAGTTCAGTATCATCCCTTTCAGTTTCCTGTTGCACCTGTTGGAGTTTTGCTTAGTTTTTTTTTTTTTTTCTATTTCATCTTCCTGTGCCCTTAATATTTATGTTACAGTCAACATCACAGTCTGCTAATATTACCTTTATCTTTTGGCTTCTGGTGAGGATTCATTCACTAGATGTCCCTGAAGGAGCAGGGATGGCATTGCGGCAGAGATCAGCAACCAGAGGGTGAAATCTGGTTGGTGCAGGAGAAATTCTGACCTCACCCACTTGCACTTTGGACAGCTGCTCCTCATGAGTAGAGTATAGGAACTGAGGTTTTTGTGGTTGGCTCATGAGTTAGGAATCAAGGAATTTCATTTAAGCTCACAGCTGTAATGCAGCCTAAATAGAGACGAGTGTTGCATCAGCCTAATTTCTTAAATACTTTTGGATGTAACTAATTTATAACTAAAGAGATATTTTCTGAGCAGCGGGATAAGAAAATTCCACTTGGTGAGTCAGCAATCTTTCTGTATTACAAAGGGGGGAAAAAAGTTTTAAAGATTTAAAATCTTTTGGCACAAAGCTTAACAAGAAGTGAATGTAAGAAAGTTTAAAATGGATTAAGGGGATAGTTATTTTGAAAGATTATTTTTTGGTGAAAGTGTTTTTGAACAAACTGAAATTAAAAGAAACAAATGTACCAAACCTTTCTGAGAATGTTTTTTGTTTACTATTAGAGTGTAGACAATTGGTGGATTTTACAAAACAACAGATAAAGGTAAAATTTTAGTGAAAACATTTTCGATCTGTTTTATTCTAGAAACATATTTTGGGTGAAAAAAACATTGATTTATAAAATAATCTGGCTCTAATATAGTTTCAGTTTGGATCCATTGTTAGAAGAGATGATTGTGATAATGATAATGAATGGAATCATGTGCCCTAACTGTGCTGCTTGATAATATATTATCAAATTGGACATGCCCCAGGCTCCCTGTTTCTGAAGTCTATTATAGAATCCTGTTATTATCTCTTCCTCCCTCTCCCTCTCCCTCTCTCTCTGTTTTGTATGAAAGCAAAAGCTTTATTTTATTTTATTTTATTTTATTTTATTTTATTTTATTATTTTATTTTTGCCTGTGTCTTAAGGCCTGTTCTGGAATTTCCACTGGAAGGCATTGAAATAGAAAATTGAGCCATGAGAGGATTTTCATTTTTACTACTGCAATTTGCCCTAAAATGTTGAAAAGGTTTGAAGCACAATTTTTAATTTCCCTGTTTAATTTCTTCCATGTTGGTATATAATTATTAATAACAATTTTATTAATATTTTTAGTAATAATGGTACCTAAATATTTTAAAGATTTATATACTCTTGGAATCTCTAAATCTGTAGAAATTACCTTTTGAATGTCTTGGGGTGTATGAAAAAACATCAGATGTGATTTGTGAAAATTAACTGATAGAGGAATTTGCAGAGATGTCAGGACTAACTCCTTCTTAATATAGTTAGCTGAATGAAAAGCATTTGAGAGAGTCAGAACCATATCATCTGCAAATAGATTTAAAAGTTACATCTTGTCACCCAATGTTATCCTGTGAATCTGATTGTTGCATCTAAGTGCTATTGCCAGCAGGACAACACTGTTGTTGACATTTCAACTAGTCACTTCCTATAAATGCTTCCTTCACATACAGATGTAAACTCAGATGCATATTCTTCCAAGTTATACCTCCTTAACTGACCCATGTAGGATCTGCAGTGATAGCAATGTACTTTAGAGGCTTTTTAAAAAGTTTTAAAATATAATTAGAATGTTAATGATCAAGTAGTTCATGAGTACACATTGGTCTTCTTTCTGTCTCATTATATTCCATAGACAGTGGTGGTACTGGTGATTATTTCTATGCATGAATTAATTTTATCAAAATTTACTAATGTCCACAGTGAAATATTGCAGTGAAAAGCAAAGGAAAAATTAAAAGTTCACAAAACAGTTTTTCCCCAAAGCAACAAGTGATATGCTGATTACATATGTATGTTTTGCATATTCCCTACAATTAAATACTAATGAGCATGCCCTTTATGTGATATTTCAGTTCACTTACAACTTTATAAATATTTCAGCCTTAGATAATTGAGTAAATTGATCTTGATGAATTAGCAGTGCAATCAGTGGGTGTTGTTTAAGAAAAGGTACTGCATCAAGAAGTCCATTATAGTATCATGATACATATTTCATAAATGAGTCATTAACAACCATAGACAAAGATAAAGAGAATAACTGAACTTTTTGAATAAAATTCATAATGCATACTGTAATAAACCTGTATTAATTGTAATTTATAGCAAAGTTTAGAAAAATAAATGTATTTGTTGTATATTCTTTCATGTTGCACCAAAATGGATCCAAATTTTAAATACTTTTCAAAATGTTCATTTATATTAGATGTTGATATTAGTCTATAAGAAAACAATTGTCTTAACATTTAAGCAACTTAGAATACCCCTAAATCAGGTCTCAGTATTTTGTTTGTTGTTCCCATTAACATTTCAGTGATTATTCCCATCCCTGTTGAAGGACGTTGTGGCTAAGAAATGAGCAGTGCTAATCATAAACTTCTTGAATAGTTGTAATGATTGATTGGTCAAGTCCCTCTTAGAAATTCTGTGACTATAGAAGTACTATGACCATCTGACAGGCAATAAAATAGATTGTGATACTATTTACTGCATGATTCACCTATCCAAACCACTTTGCTTTCTTAAGAGGGTCAGTCCTTTTATCTTGGAGTGGGTATAGGTTACTTCTCTTCAATTTAAATCAATAGGGAGACAAATAAATTACAGGAATATATATATTTTAATTCTTATATTTTAACATGACCAAAAATAGCTAAATTTACATTCTATCTACGTATCTAGCATTGTTCCATATTCCATAAACAAAAAATTATTAGTTTGAATACCATCTTTACTATGAATATATCTAGAGTTTATAGACAAGCCACTTTGTCATACTTACCCCTCAATTCCATATACAATATGAAGCTAATACTGAGTTACTGTTTTACACGATTGTAAGAACTGAGTGCAAGTGAGATGTTTCACATGTGATTTTTCTACATTTGTATCCTGTATTTTACCTACTCCCAAAGAACACATCTTGAAATTTGTGAAACCACAGTGAACCATGTCTAAACCGAGGGAGGAAAAAACACTGAGACAATAGGCTAGACTTTAAAGTACTGAAATATATGGTTTCATTAAAGAATACCAAGAATCAGTAGAGTAGAGCATTCAAATGAAACTCATTATTTGATTAAATCTATAAAAAAAAAATTAGGAGCAGAAAGAAAATACAGTGAAGACAAAGATTATGCAGGTTATATAGGAGAGCTGGTACCAAATAAAAAGAGAAGCTGGGAAGACACAGATGCTGCCTACTTGGTTTCATACAATATTTCCTAATTTTGGCAGTTTTGAGATGTGGGAACTTCAGTTCCCAGAATTTTCAGCAATAGCCAAGAATTACAATTTTTCTTTAGTCAAATACAGTTCCCTGACTTACTAGGAGGCTTACCTGTACTGCTATTGTGGTCGAGTTAAAGCCTGTTCTTATCAGGTCGAGTTAAAGCCTGTTATTTTAATAACATCTGAGTTAGTAGCTTCACACCATTATTTGCCTTGATGTTGATTTTATGCTTATTTTCTGTAAAGCCCTGGGACTTACCAGGTTAGTTAGTTATTAAATAAATAAGTAAACAAATAAATAAGTGGCTAAACCCAGTTACTTTCAAAATACTTAGTGAAGTAGAATTTGTTTATCATAAGGATTGATATTCTTTTTCTGTTACAGTGCAAACTAGACTACCAAGCCTGTGTCTCAGGAAAGCAAATCTCAGCTAAGTGTGAAGGACGTTGTCCTTGCCTTTCAGAAAAGTCCACAAGTGTGGGCAGAAGTGATAAGAGAGGTAAGTTTTGAGGCTCATGTTAAGTCTCTCAGAGTTGCATGCTTCAGCAAATTATATGTCTGCAAATGAAAAAAAAATGTGAGAAGTAACCAATGACTTCTTTCAAGAACTAAAAGGTCTCTTCACTTTAGAGTCCAGCTTGATAAAGATAAACAGTATTGCTTAACTGAAGCTGAACCTGTACTAAGTAATACTTAGACAGAGACCACCAAGAGATCTCAGGGCTTAGGCTATACTGGGTACTTAAAAAGCATCCCTGAAGAAGCCAATGACTTTCTGTACTGCTGCCAAGAAAATAACATGAGTGTTGTCAGATTTAACACCTAGGCTTGGAAGTAAATCATAGATTTCCAGGCACTTAACCTTTAGTTCAGTTCTCACCTAGACTTAGCAGAAGACTCCCAGACACCACTCAGCTAATTTAGAGACTTTATTGCAGAGAAAAATGAAGCCTTAACAAGATATTTGATTACTCACTGCAGAGCAAAGAATTCAAAGCCTCTCTGTATCTGTGTTCCAACATGTAACCTCTTGGCTTCTGCCTTCTGCCTTTCTGAATTGACGGATCCTTGGCAGTTTGCTTGGTGGCATTGGATAGCTGAGCTATCTACATAACAGTTCTCTCTAGCCTGGTTTGTACTGTGCCAGTTTCAACCACTGCTGATGTATCCATGAAGCCACCATAAGTCACATTAGCTTTAAAGGAGTCTTTACTTATATCTTTAGCTGAAAGCAAAGTAGAATCAAGAGTTGCCATATTTTTAAAAATTATTTTTGTATATACCATTTTGTTAACTGTTCTACTTGGGAACAAAAACTAAGATATCAATAAATACCCATACATTAACATTTGACACTCTTGTGCTTAAGGGCCACACCTGATCTGAGTAGGTTTGTACTTAGGATCTTCAGTGGTGTCTACTAATTTAGGTGACACAGTGACCAGTCTACTCATTTCTACTAATCTGTTTGAAGATTGCAGAAAAAGCATTCTGAGGAAATGTTTAGCTCTTTTACATAGATGAAAATCTCTGTTGAAGCTTACATAATTTCTAGGAAAGAAATCAAAACTATGGAGAGCAAGTGCTCTAAAAGCATCAGGTCTACATCTTATCTTTAGTCTTATTACTCTTCTCTGAAAACTCCTAATGCTTGTTTAAAACAAGAAGTAAAGGAATAAATTTATAATTTTCATATTAGAGAAGGGTTTAAAAGATGGTCCATGAAGATCTTTATTAGGATGATTTCTTTCTTTCTTTCTTTCTTTCTTTCTTTCTTTCTTTCTTTCTTTCTTTTTCTTTCTTTCTC